GAGAAGTTTTGTGGAGGTTCCAGTGTTGCTCTGAACACTGCTCAACCGGAACTGAAAGGTGAGGGGAAGACACTGCGGTTAGTTCAGGTTCAGTGGAACTTGAAGAGGAGAAAATGTTTGCAGACTCACGTTTCCAGAGATTAGGTTGACTCTTAGACTCCAGTAGGTGAGGAAGGTGTTTGGGTTTTTGTCTCATACTGTGGAGGGCGGACTGGGTTACCCAGAATGCGGTTGCTTGTAGATTAACGGAGAAAGACTGACTGCCGCTCAGATTTCCTGCGGTACTTGAACGCGCTGTTGTGTAGATGAATCCCTTGCTCAGTGTGAAGCTCAAACGTTTCCTCGGGGAAAAGTGGATCCAAACCTCCGGTTGAAGCCACCAGTACAATCGCTTACACATTGCTAATCGAGCACAAGGAAAAGAAAAGTTATTATATGTTTACAAGTCTGGTCCTAAATTTATTTTATTTTTGTCATTTTGAGAAAGTTATCTAATAAAACTGGATCCAAAATATTGAATTTACTGTCCTGCTGAACTGGGATGGTTTCAGACCAATTCATAATTTGCCTTTTTCATCACAATCCAGGCAAATTAAAATACATTTGCAGTTTTTTTCTTAAAACATCGAATTACTTTTTGTGTTTCAAACAATGTTTTTTTTTCCCTCTTTGGTTATCATCAAATTTAACAAACAGTTGGAGTTTAATCTGTTTCCCTAAATTTCCTTTTCACCTAAAGCTGCTAGCCAACGGACTAGCTAAAATGCTAAATGCTAATATATCTCTCCAGCATTAGCTTTGTCACCCCACTGTGTTTAAAGCGGTTATAATATAAAAGTATTAAATTATTGCAATTTTTGGTTTACATTTCTGCATTAGGAATTAGGGCCAGGCTAGAGATTTTGTTTTCATTCTATTTAGAGAATAAAGTCGTAACATTACGAGAATAAAGTCGTAAAATTACAAGAATATAGTCGCGACAGAATAAGCATAAAATTATGTGAATAAAGTTGTAAAATTACGAGAATGAAGTCATAACATTACGAAAATACAGTCGTGCTATTACGAAGCTTGGAGCTCCGCCCAGCAGATGACGGCCGACCA